TGCACTGACTACGTCGTTGTTAGAATCACCAAGACGGCGGAAGGTGGCGGGGCGGCGGTACCCAATTGCTCAAGTTAATCCAACAGTGATTGCGCATTTGGTGTGCTTTCATCATGTCGATATTCTTTTTCTCTAACATCTAACTCAAATTTGTAGGGTATTCAGTAGTTTGATGAGGAAGATAATGCCCAAATCTTTTGTAGCTTCTTGATAGATTTATTGGGGTTTTATTTATGGGTCTTTTTTATCAATCTTTTGTCAATTTCGATGCCAATGTTGCTTCTCTTTCAATCCGTTTTATTATGTGATCTGCGAAGGTGGTCAAATAATCCAGGTTCTGCTCTTGAAGCTTGAAAAGACCTCGAAGGCAATGACTATGGATGCTTTTTTTTTCCTTTTTTTTAAAGTCAGACGTAAGTGAGCCACACAGTCTGAAAAAAGTTGCAAAAAAATAAACAATTAACAGATAAGGAGTTTAACCGTTAATTTTTTAAAATTACGTTAAATGGATGAATGTTGATGAATAAACGAGGAGATGGTGATCAATTTTCTCAATCAAAAAGTAATGCTAACGAGAAGTTGTGATCATAATATTTTTGGGACTGAAAGTGTATTTTGTGCTTTTTCAATCTTTCAAAGTTATAATATCGCAGTAAATATTTTTTTTACTCACAGGAGTGAGACAACCTATTCATAGTTTGTGAAAAGTAATCTGATATCTTTAATCAAATAGGAAACTGTTGCAAATTTTTAGTTGAAGTACATTAGAGTATCTTCAACAGTGGTAGATTGTAAGTTAATTACTAATTAATCACACTCTTTACTATTACATAGAGTACAATAATATTAAACAGTGTAAGAATTCTTACACCATGTAATATTTAGTTTTGTGAGTCATAATGCATTTATATAATGGAGACTGCCCCTATATAATTTTATTTTACCTTTATGATGTTATAAAACCAATGTGAACAAAATTAGAAAAAAAATGTAATAATGCAAAGTGATAATTTAAAAATTTATTACATCTCAAATAGTATAACCTATTGTGATGCTAAAGAAAAAATTGATATTAATAACAAGAAAGAGGCTAAGGTGATAAATGCTTGAGCCTTTTTCATCAAAGCGTGTAAGAGAGCAACAAAAGAATCTACTAATGAGATGAATGTAAGACCTCGATTTTAGTTTAAGAAATTTTATAATCATTTTTGACACTTTAACAAAGTAAAATTACGTTAATTTTTGTAAGTTCAAAAAATTATTGACGGCAGATTGCACGAGTCCTTGCTGTTGACCTCCTCGTGGATCCACTTCATAACGAAACCTTCGACGTCTTCCAGTTGAATTCATTTTCCATTTGATTGTGCTTGATGCAAACCCTAATTCATTTTTCATTTTTTCTTCGACGTCTTCCTTGCTTGATGCTACCTCAACGGTTCTCCTCTCATAAGTCATAAATTCAGTGATACTTCATAAAAAAATAAAAAACAAAATAAAAAAAAAAAGAATGATACTTCATATTCAGAACGAAAACCACTCATCATATGCTTAGGACAAAAACTTCATATTAGTGCCTTGCTATACAATGGATTCCAGTATTCCACATCATATCTTGTTTGCTGTTTTACGGACTTCATATAGTTTTCATTTGTCTTCAACCCTTTGATAGGAACTCAACAAACAAATTAAGGAACCAATCCATCTTTAACGACTTCATCAATTAATTAATTATTAATAGGTGGCTTCTCATGTATCGTAAGAGCTTCGCAGAAAATCCTCTTTAAAATTCAGCCGAACGGTGTCTCGATGATTTCTCCAACTCGTAACTTTAACAGTTGTTGTACTCGGGTTATTAGTATACGCAATATTAACTTTATTGTTATTTTAATTAGTAACTTTTCGGGGTTTAATTAGGCGGTTACTCTAAATGTTCTAGAATAAGGATTTACATTGTAAATAATCAGGAGTTTGATTTGATGATCTATAAATAGAGTTGGCTGTATATTGTAATCTTATCTTTAATGAAATTTACAGAAAAATCAGAGAAAACAATGGCGTTTTCTTCTTCACTTTACTTTTCCGGCAAGCTTTTTTTCTGTTTGATCATTTCTGTTTTCTTTTGATTATCAAACCATACACGCGGTCCGCGCAGAACTTGGTCCATCAACGAACTATGGTGAAGGAGTAGCGAAGGACGTTCAGGAAAGCGATGAGATTTATGAAAGGATTTACGCACCAAACTTGCGGAAACAACCACTTGCAATGGGGGACAAAAACTTCGCTCATGGAACCTAGTTCTTGTAGTTCGCTAATGTACGTCTGCCTTAATCGTTCTTGTCCTTTTGTTTTTTAAGGTAGCTATCATTTTGTTAGATTATTATAATAACATAGTCACTTTTCATGTTATTTAAAATAAATTTTTAGTTTTAGTGATTTGCCGCGGTCATATGATATTTAACAATTATAAGATGTGAAGCCATGGCGAGTACAGTACAATTAGAATCTCTTGTCCATGCTCTTTATTAATTTCAATGTAACAAGCCAATAGGGGCATTTTAACTTTAAAAAAAAAACACATACACACACATGAATTTTACTTGCTATAGAAATGTACGTTACAAAACAAGTATACATACCATGTCTTCGAAGTAAATTAAATTATAATTTATGATTTGTACTATTTTTACTATAAATTATAAATTGCATTTGAGACATTGGAAATAATATGAATGTGAGCTGAATTTCCTTTCTTGGCTATAGATTTTTGTTTTTATTTATTTATTTATTTTTTGTCGGTTTTCCCACTTAGCAATAGATTCAGCCGTATTGATAAAAAAAAACCGTAAATAAAAATTAATTAGCAACAATACTCCCGTCAATTTAACAAACCTTTTTTTCTTCCTTTGTCAATCAACCATTTATATATGTAACTGCTGTACAATAGATTTTTCTCTGTATATGATATCATACAGCTTAATAAATTGATAAGCGTTATACACCTTATCGTATCGCGCAATACTTTTACTTTTAGACCTGTCCATCTTTAATTTCGCGCTTCACTTTAGTCTTTTAAAAAGTTTCGTCTTCAGTCTTTAAAATAGTAAATGTAATTCTGTTTGGAGACTCTGTAACGCAGTCATTCTTGTTCAACGTATCCATAGTTAACAAAAAAAAGAAATCTTCACACTTTATCTTTTTTTTTTTGTTTTACTTTACAAACATTTTCCACCATGTAATGAACTAAAAAGCAGGCCCAATTCATTTCCCAATTGTAAGTTATCAAGAATAGAAATCTGCGAACACAGACCTCAGTCCCTTTCAATCAATTGGTTCACAAAATTTTTTTTTAAAGAAAATCATAACAATTAATAACTATATTCTCGTTAGATTGTCTGGCATTTAAATGAACTGAAAGTTTAAAGGCCGCCAGGAAAAGATAAAAAAACGCCATTAACCAAGAGTTGACTTCTCATTTTACCCTTATATTTTAAATTTCAAATTCAAACTTTAAAAACCCAATTTATAACCCTACACTCCAATCTTCCAATTTTTAATCCTACACTGCAATCTTCAATCTCAAACACTCTAATTTCTAATTTTCAATCTTCCTAAATTTCAAACGATGGCCGGAGGAGATCGCCATCGCGGGAAACGTCTCCAGGAACGAGTAAGTTTTCTCAAATCTTGAACTTTTTATTTTTTGAATCTTAATATAATTTTTTGAATTTGAAACCCGACGGGCCGGCGGCGGTGTCGTCCGAAAAGCTGCCGGCCAACCGGCCTGATAACCCAGAAAGCCAAAGACGCCTAGGCTGCCAATCACCGACTGACGGCAGGAACGCCGTCAAGTTTTGTGGCCGGCGCTGGCATCCAAGAAGGAACACACGCTGGTGGTCATGTCCTAGGGAAACATCGATGCCCCAGGTGCCGTCCAAGGGCAGAGTCGACGACCTAGTTGTCGTCGACCGAGAAAGGGGACGGCATGGTCGCCGTCTACCAGTAAACAGACGGCACAGTCACTGCCTTGTTATTTCCTAGCCGGCTGCACCGCCGGCCAGGCATTTTTTTTTGAGTAATTAGTAATTTAATTATTTATTGTTTTTTAATTATTTTCTTCAATTCAGTAATTTAATTTATTTATTATATTTAATTTTTTTAATTTTGTTTTAATTAATTTAATTGAGTTCTTTTAATGGACATGTTGATTATACTATTAATAAGTATTTAGTTTAATGCAGTTAGTGGACTATCATTAATTCATGTAAGTTCCTCTCTCCCTCTCTTCTCTGAAATCTTTCTTCCCTTCCGCCCATGGGCGGCGATCCGCAGCCGGCCATAGGCCCTTCAAACCAAATAAACTATCGTTTTGCTCAGATTTTGGGCAAAACAAATCCAACAGCCATACAAAATCACAATACAAAATCAAAGTTAGTTTGAGTTTCATTTAGAACCAACGATATTCAAAGGTGGGCCAACTTTTCTTCTTACCAAAGAAGAGGATGATCAATGGGCTGCACCAATCTCTCTCACTCTTGTAGGGATGTTTACAAAAGGCCGGCCGAAGATGGATTACTTACGAAGAGAATTTCAAACTATCGGTTTCAAAGAAAGCTTTTTCCTTGGATCGATTGACTCCCAACATATCATTTGCTTCGATTTAGAAGAAGATTTTCATCGTTGTTGGTTAAAAAGTCTATGGACCTTTGACTCGCCTCGTATGCGAGTTCTAAAATGGACCACAGATTTTAATTCGGCACACGAAAGCTCTATAGTTCCGGTTTAGATCTCCTTCGAAGGCCTTCCCATTCACTGTTTCAACAAGGCATACTCTTGGAAGCTAGCTAGTATCATTGGAACTCCTCTTCAAATCAACGTCCCAACCCTCAATATGTCACAACCGTCTATGGCAAGAGTCTGTATAGAGTTGGATCTGTTCAAGGAGAAGCCTATTCTAATGAGACTAGGAGTTGAAGGGGCGACTTATTTTCAATCAATATTCTATGAGAACATGCCCCTATATTGTATTGATTGCAAGAAAATTGGTCATGATCTTCAATCCTGTCGACACAATACACAAGCATCATAATCACAAAAGAAAGAAACGCAGCCTTCAAAGCAACAGTTTAAAACTCAAATTCAAGGAAACCAAACAAAATCCATCACCCTCTGAAGTTGTGCAAATCCCGTCGAAGTCAGTTGCTTCTGGCGGGGTTCAGAATCCGTCGGTCACTGCCGCCGGAGACTACCTCAATTCTAATGATGTTCGGCCATCTCCGCAGTTGCAAGCAACCCATGTTGCACAATCAGCCTCTGCGGATCAGAATGACGACGAACACATCACCGCCGCTAATGAACACTTTCCACTCTCTTCGATTGTGTTGCACCAGCCCATTGCTTCGGACCAAGCCCCTGCTGGGACGCGCACGACTGAAACCCTTTTCGCACACCGAGATGCTGCTGCTCCGCGGGACTCCACTGAAGCCGCCGCTCCTACGAAGATCGCTGCTATCACTAGCGACGGAAGAGCCTCATCACCGGAGAATATGGATAACCGGCGAAGTCAACAATGGCTAAAAAATTTGGGGAGTCTCCGCTGATTTAGGGGCCTGAGATTGCACCGCTCCCATTAGCGCAACAGACTCCTCCGCTTGGTCAACAAAATCCGGATATCGCGCCCATATCTCACTCTACTTTATCACAACCGGATGCTCAAAATTGAAATGTTGAAAAGTCAAAATCTGACTCTTTAACTCAGCGGGTAATTTGTCCCCAATTCTCTCCTTCAGATAATGAAGATATTTATTCTAAAAATAGCCCTCAAAATAGCTCCACAAAAAAGCTAAATCCAGCTGCAAAGGAATTCTCCTATCCCTCTAGCCCACAAATCCCTATTCTTGAAGTTCTACTACCAATTTCAGGCCCAATTACGGAAACAAATCACACTCGGTACTTATCCAAAGATGATACGGAAGTAGGGACGCAAGTAGAGTCGTCGGAAAAGGTTTCTCAGTTGATTACATTCAACCCGAGGGTGAACACAATCAAGTCTATAAGGATTCAGAAGATGAAGATTTTGACATGGAACAAGAACTAGAAAGAGAGTCTTTTTACAGTGAAATTTCTGCTCCAATATATCATAATCACTCGAAAAAAGCCAAGTTAAAAAAGAAAAAAGTTCAAGTTCATCGGTCAGCTAAATTGAACAAGGATTGAATTTTACTTTATCATTAAAATTGTATTTACTATAGGGTTTAGTATATGCGTTGTCCTATCTTTCCTTTATAAAAAAAAAAATAGTTTAATGTAGTTAGATATTAAATAACTTAATAATTAATTATTGTATAAATATAGTTTACTTGTCAATTGAAATATTATTTACTAATTAATGGAATTAGTTTATTAATATGATTACTTTTAATTAGTATTTTTATAATTAATGATTATATGATTTATTAGTGAATTAAATATTGTTGAACGAAATAATTTGTATTAGTGTAATTATTTGGTTATGTAATTAACAGTGATTAAATGTAGGAATCACTTGGCCCAATCAACAAAGAATCAGGTAAGCGGCATGTGCATTCGCGAAATGTCCTGGTATCGAGTCGGAATCAAAATGAAGGGAATGTGGTAGAAAATGAACATGTGGAGAATGAGGAGATGGAGCAAGAAGGGAGTGCCAGCAGTTATGCACACAGAGTTGGACACATCTTATATCAGCAGGCACCCTCGTTTGAGAAACAAGAGCATGTTCACAATGTTTCACAAACATAGAGTGGTGAACTAGCCCCCTCACACCCCCCCCCCCCCCCCCGGCCCCGAATTCCACAAATTCGTATTACCCTGCTTGGAGGTCGTAGTGGCACTGGGACTGGGACAGATTTCTATAAGGGTGCTACAGTAGCAGCATGTATGAATTAATTTTGTGTGAAAATTGATGTTAATATTAATCATATAATTATTAGTTATTTGATGTTGAAGTTATTACATAAAATTTAATAATTACATCCCATTTCTTTTTCTTGGAGTAGCAGCCGATCGGAAAAATCGAAGGATCGGTCACGGATTGTAACGGATGCAGTATCTGGTGGGCCTGAAGATGGATCGATTATTCCCGGCTTCAATGGACACGTTGCCTCTTTGTTATGGCAGGGTAGGGACTGCGGTTGTCTCAAGTTACAGAACAGAGCCGTTGTTTGTCAGATGTTGATATCATGGAAGAGTGACCCAGGTTGACAGGGTGAGGCCTCTGGTTCAAGTGACTAGGTTGTCTCATCTTCCAGCACTGATGTGCCATGTTAACAACAAGTGGGTAGACTCGCGAAAAACATCACTGATTGGTGCCATTAATCCTGACTCTCGATAAGTGAATAAAACGTTTGGCTGACCTTTATCTCCAAGTATTAGCCTCAACTGTAACAATGTCCATTCATAGCTCTCAGTAGTCTCAGCATCCTATAGAACATAGGCAATAAAAAAGTTCTTGTTGCAAAGAGTCATCCCAATAAATTCAGAAAAAGGCATTTTGTACCTGTTGGTTTCATACGTGATATCCTTACCGACGACCAAGTGGCACGCTCTATACAACCTCACTAATTCAGGGTGTGCCATGAAAACCCAGGTCAAGGCCATTGTATTCGGATCAGACTCCGCCAAAACTATGTAGTTGTGTTCTCAGGCCAACCGAAAAGTCATGTTAGCTACAACAAGACTCGTGCCATCATCTTGCGCAGTTTATTTCTGTAGCTGTAAATTTGGCGCTTTGTAACATGGTCATCAGGATACTCCTTTTGAGTTGCCTTTATAATGTAAATCGGCCTCGCTCCCAACACAAACATGTCTTCTATCATCGTTTTTGCTCCCTCGCTCAGCTTACTCATCTGTTGATGACCCTCTGGATATTGTATCATCGGATGATTGTGCTCTGCCTTTTTACCGGTCTTTGGACAGATTCTGTACACATCGTTCAGTCATTCTTTATATCTTTTGATGAACACCTCAAATTTACACCCAGTCACTAGGGTCTTCGAATTTGGTCGGCGCTTAGTGGTTCCATCTCTGTACCTCGCTGTCATGTACTATCCACCTTTCATGCATTTTAGCAAATAACCGTTGTCCTTCTGCGAATCTCTCACTAATTCAACACCATTACCTTTTGCAATCTCTGTCGCACGCAAAATAGCATCATCCTTTGATTGAAATATCTAATAACTGTTAAAAGAAACACTGTGATCTTCGTTTTCAGCTCTATCTTGCAAATTCCAAACATATACTCTAAATAACTTAATAATAAGCTACCTAATTACTCTTACTAAATAAAAAAAAACTTATGGCATAAAGTAATAGATTTGCATGAATAAATAAATAAAACACTATAAATTAACTAAATCAATCAATAAAACTGAAATTAAAAAAAATTAAAAAATACCCGGGTCGTCGCACACACCGGCCCGGGATAAGCAAGCCGGTTTCCACACCAGTTCACACACAAAGGGATGGCAGCCCCAGCGTCCCATGTTGACTTGGACGCTGTGGGCGACGGCCATTTCAAAAATGGCCGCCACAGCCGTCGGTCCGCTTTGTCGGTGGCCCTGCCCTCCAGGTTCCCATAAACCAGCCAAAATGCCATATAGGACAAGTAGGTACAACACGACCGACCGTCGCCCCGACCTATTCCAGAGGGTATTTTTGCTGGCTTGCCCTATTTCGGTCTGAAATTCTTCAAGTCTAATCATTTCTTTTTCTTACCTCTTAATCACTCATTTTGGACTGAAAAAATGAAAAGGGTGGAATGGTATTTCTTACGGCGGTCCATATTTTTTACCATACGGTCTATATCCAAATAAAAAGGGCAGAATTATTTTTTTACGGCGGTTTTTATCTTTTTTATGGCATTCAACATTCACTGAAAATAAACATTTATTTCTCTTGCAAAACAAATCTTTTCTTATATACATTGGTTTTTGCAGACATATATGGAGCAAAACCAAAAAATGTTGACTAATACATGTTGCAATTCTCACAAGTTCACTCGTTAAGGACACTAACACTAACAAATTAAAGACCATCATCGAATTGAAATATTAAACAAACTAACATTACAATACTCAGTACTGATAACATTATTAGTTCAAGTATCTTCGACAAATTCAACGATAACAAAATGGACAAAAAAAATCTAACTTAACTTTAAGTTGTAAACCTAGCGACTTTAATCATCACTACGTTCTTCAGTTTCCACTCGATAATCGCTGTCGTCAGGATTGCTATAGTCCTTTTCACTCGTAGATTCTTTTTCCAAGAATACGATTCCGTAACTTTTATCCTTGTCGTCGTCCCATACTCCCCCGGGGTACCATACTCCCCCTCCTATTTTTTACACTACTAGTCCTTACTACACTTTTTTCCACTTTTCTAAATAACATCCTATAATTTACAGGTTTAGTGCTTTTGATTTTTTTCTCTCTCCTTTAAAAAACATCTCTAATATTTAAACGATCATATCTCATGATCCGTAAAATATTAGAGAACGTGTTACACATGAATTTTGTTGTACTCGTTGAGATCTATGCAACAAGATCCATGTCGAATATTTTTTCGAGTTTAAAAATGACTAATTTTTGATGGGCAGAAAAAGATGGATATCTAGTTTAGAAAGATGGATAACCAGTTTAGTTTAGATTAAGATCCTTGTATTGCATAAATCTCTTGATCCGTAAAGAATTAGAATACGAATTATACATGAAATTTAAAGTGCTCGATGAAATCTATCCGATAAGATCCATGTTGAATATTTTTTTCGTACTTTAAATGCATTTAAATTTTACGGGCAGAAATGAAGAAATGTCTTTTTCGTTTTTCCTTGAAAAATGGTTATCCGTTGTGTTCCTACTGATTATCCAATCGGTTTGGAGTGATTATTCATTCTGTTTGTACTTATTATCCAATCATATTTTTGACATTCACTCTTCACAAAAAAAAAAAGAAAGAAAGAAAAATGATTGGATAAGCATTGCAAAAAATTTGGATAATTAATAGAAAATAATTGGATAATCAGTGCAACACGTTGAATGATCAGTACAAAAAAATTTGACAATCATTTTCATAAAAGAGCAAGGAATAAAAATATTGGATAACCACCACAAAGAAGTTGGATAATCAATATGAACACATTGGATATCCAGTTTAAGAAGATGGATAACCAACTTATTTTACATTCATATTGTTGTGTTCGTTATATCTTTTGATCCGTAAAGAATTATAACACGAATTATGTATGAAATTTACAGTGCTCGACGAGATCTATCCGATAAGGTCAATGTTGAATATTTCTTTTGAACTTTAAATGCATTTAAATCTTACAGGCAGAAACGAATAAACTGAAAAATGATTATCCGTTGTGTTGATAATGAATATCCAACCGGTTTGGACTAATTAGCTATTTTGTTTTATCTAATCATATTGGATAGGCATATAAACCAAATGGATAGATATCCAGTACAAACAAGTTGGATATCCAGTACAAGCGAGTTGGATATCCAGCACAAACAAGTTGGATATGAATACAAACCCATTGGATTACAACTACAAAACAAGTTGGATAAGCATATAAACCAAATGGATGGATATCCAGTACAAGCGAGTTGGATATCCATTTCAAACAAGTGGGATATCCATTACAAGCAAGTTGCATAAGCAGTACAAATAACATGGATAACCGGTTCAAACTGATTAGATAATCAGCATGAACACAATGGATAAACAGTTTAGAACAAGTTGGTTATCCATCTTGTAAAACTGGATATCCACCTTTATTCTGCCCATCAGAATGAAATCATTTTTAAGCCCGGAAAAATATTCACTATGGATCTTGTTGGATAGATCTCGACGAATACTATAAATTTCAAATATTCGTTCACAAATTCTTCACGGATTGGGAGATATGCTCGTTGAAAGATTAGAGATATTTTTTTTGGAAGAGAGAGAAAAAATGACAGAGACTAAACTTGTAAAATATAGAAAGATTGATAAAAAAGCACAATAAGGACTAGAAATGCAAAAAATAAGAGGGGGTACACGATGCCCCCGGATATACTGAATACAGACTCATCTTCTTAATTTCCTCCATCGTTAGAATTAACTTCTCTATCGACCGGAGATTGTTACTGATCTCTTCATCGTGGCCAATGTTGCAATCTCCATTGTTCCGTGCACCGAGATTCATTTCATTGCTACCGCTTCCTTCGTTTTCATTGCATTCCACATCCTTTTGTTTTCCGGAACAATTGCTTTCCTCACCTCTTACTTGAAAAGCTGAACCATGCCGAAATAAACAACAATGGCTTTATCATTCATATCTTCCCCATTGTTCTCTTCCACTGGAGCTTCTTTGGCTCTTTCTGAAAATGTAACCCCCAGACCCTATTAAAGAGGCCGCCAGGTATTGGTCTTCCCAGGTCCTATCAACAGAGTCTAACAGGGCCCTCTCATCTCCTTGAGTCTTGAAAAACATAAAGCCGGGATCTGAACAACGCTGGCATTTGTAATGAGCTGAAGTCCTCCCACGAACACAGTTCAAGTGGGCTAAAGCTGGACAGCTGGAATAGTTAACCAAATCAGGATTTGGGAAGCTCAAATCATAACTTTCGTAAACCAATAAACAAATCGGACAGAAGAGTCCGGGAGAGGATGAAAGGACGCAGTCTGTACAGAGTACAGATGGGTAGGGTTG